GTCCGCGCGTGGTCCTTTCGCCCCAGCAGCTTCGTGAGTGCTACGCTCAGAGTAGAGGGTCACGGAGTACTGCTCGCTGCCCGTACGTCATTCGCACTGGTGCTCGGGCTGGTCAGCCTTGCGGGACGGTTGGTCACACAGAGTCCCGCTGCTTCGCCAGTCTGAGCGACGCCTGGCGTACAGAGTTTGGCGACGACGCTGAGCTCCCCTCCTGGCTGGAGTTGCTTAGGCAGAGGGTAGATATCTTTGCTCTTGACTATGATGCTATCCTCACTGCCATGTATGCATTGCCTACTAGTGCTGAGGGTGCCTGTTACCTGTGTGTGCCGCCTGACTCAGGTATAGAGTCTGCTGCTCTAGGTGCTGGTGAGGCTGCTGCTCTAGGTGCTGGTGCGTCTCCTGCTCCAGGTGCCGGTGAGGCTACTACTCTAGGCGCTAGTGAGTCCACTGCTCCAGGTGCTGCTGCGTCTGCTCTCTCTGGTACTGCGCCTGCTGCGGCCTTGCACACTTTCACCCTTGACTCGGGTGCTTCCTACTCCTTCTTTCGCGACTGCACCACTCTCTTGCCGCTCAGTCGGCCAGTGGCAGTCTCTCTTGCTGACCCCTTTGGGGGTCCGGTCCTTGCACACTCCTCCACAGTTCTGCCGTGTCCGGCGGTCCCTTCTGCCTCTCTGTCTGGCCTCCACCTCCCCTCGTTCTCCACGAACTTGGTGAGTGGAGCTGACCTTCAGGACGCGTGGGTTGACCAGTTCACTCCTGGAGGTCAGCGGGTGACCCACTGTTCGTGTACTCGGACGGGCCGGCACCTGGCCACGTTCTCCCGTCAGCCTGGGTCGAGTCTATACACTCTGACTACCGTGTCTCCTCCGGTTGCTGAGTCTGGTCAGGTAGCTGCGTCGAGTCAGGTGTTTGCTGCAGCGTCCCGGTCAGGTTCTGAGTCTGCCCCCTACTCGTGTCGCCTCCTGTCTCACCAGACTCTCCTCTGGCACCACCGCCTTGGTCACCCCTCCCTGCCTCATCTCCGAGGCATGGCCTCCCGTGTCCTTGTCACTGGCCTTCCCCGGTCTCTCCCTCCCCTTCCCCCGGGGCCTGCCCCTACCTGCGTTCCTTGCATCGAGGGGCAGCAGCGCGCCGCTCCTCACTCCTCCGAGTTCCCTCCGACGGAGGCTCCCCTGCAGACGCTTTACATGGACGTGTGGGGCCCAGCCCGCGTCCATGGCCAGGGTCACGAGCGCTACTTTCTGCTGGTCGTTGACGACTACTCGCGTTACACCACAGTCTTCCTCTTGCGCCGCAAGGGTGAGGTCACTGAGGTGCTGATCGACTGGATCCGCGCTGCCCGTCGTCACCTCAGCGAGAGTTTCGGCTCGGACCTTCCTGTTCTGCGTCTGCACTCCGAAAGAGGTGGAGAGTTTTCCTCCGACCTTCTGCGAGCCTTCTGACGTGCGGAGGGCATCCGCCAGACGTTCACGCTTCCGGCCTCTCCGCAGCAAAATGGGATTGCTGAGTGCCACATTGGCATGGTCATGGACGTCGCTTGTACGTCCATGATCTATGCGGTTGCTCCCCATTTTCTGTGGCCGTTCGCGGTTCAGTACGCTGCGCATCAGATCAACCTTCAGCCTCGTGTCTCCTTGCCGGAGACCACACCTACTCTGCGGTGGACGGGGAAGGTTGGCGATGCGTCTGCGTTCCGTGTCTGGGGATCTCGGGCTTTCGTCCGCGACTTGTCTGCGGACAAGCTGTCCTCCCGTGCTGTTCCCTGCATCTTCCTTGGCTTCCCCCCTGACGCGCCTGGTTGGCAGTTTTACCACCCCACCTCGCGTCGTGTTCTGTCCTCTCAGGACGTCACGTTTGACGAGTCGGTTCCTTACTACCGTCTCTTCCCCTACCGCACTGCCCCCCTCCCCCCCCCGCCGCTCTTCCTCGCCCCAGGTCCTCCCCCGGTAGACCCCCTCCCCCCTCAGGATCCTGCCCCCTCAGGTGTGTCCCAGGTAGACGCAGTTGAGCCTGTCGAGGTAGCTGTTGACTCTGGTGCTGCTAGGGGTGCTGAGCCTGCGGGTGCCAGGTCTGGGGGTGCTGAGCCTGAGCGTGCGGAGCCTGGGGGTGCTGAGTCTGGGGGTGCTGAGCCTGGGGTTGCTGAGTCTGGGGGTGCGGAGCCTGAGGGTGCTGAGTCTGGGGGTGCTGAGCCTGGGGGTGCTGGGTCTGGGGTTGCTGAGCCTGGGGTTGCTGAGTCTGGGGGTGCGGAGCCTGAGGGTGCTGGGCCTGCTCGTGTGGAGTCTGGCGGTGCTAAGCCTAGAGGTCCTTCGGGTGCTTCGTCCCGGCGGGAGCCACTCTCTCCACAGCAGCTGCGCGAGTGGTTTGCTCGGCGCTGGAGCCGTGCTGCTGGAGCTGGTGGTTCTCCGGGCGCTGGAGGCCCTGCTGCTGCTGGAGGTCCTGCTGCTGCTGGAGCTGCTGGGGGTTCTGGGGCCACGGGTCCCGGAGGTGCTCGTACTGGAGGTACTAGAGCTGCTGAGCCTGGTGGTGCTGCTGGAGCTGGAGCTGCTAGAGGTGCTGGAGCTGGCGGTGCTGCTGGGGCAGGTGCTGCTGGAGGTACTAGAGCTGGAGCTGCTGGCGCTGCTGGAGCTTCTGGTGGTCCTGCTGGAGCTGGAGCTGCTGGAGGTGCTGGAGCTGGAGGTGCTGCTGGAGCCGGTTCTCCTGTGGGTGCTGGAGTTGGCGCTTCTGGAGTGAACTGAACTCACCTATGAAGAATGAGCTCAAGAGGGTGGAGAAGCCGGGCTTTATACTAGGGAACTAGACTAAAAAACGGCTAAGGACTAAGGACTAGGACTAAGAGGCTGAAAAACGGCTAAGGACTAACCCCAAGCCATCTCTCTCTCTCTCTCTCTCTCTCTCTCTCTCTCTCTCTCTCTCTCTCTCTCTCTCTCTCTCTCAAGCGGTCCTTCATTAATATTATAAAGGGGTGCAAGCCATACATGATAAAGCAGCAAAGCAATCCCCTAGCATACCGTCTAGGTATCATGTAGGCCAGCAAGCGCTCATGCAAGCAAGTATCAACATATAAAAACTAAGCTAGCTGGGTCTGCTAGCCGTGGCCTGCCGTGAGCCTAGCACCTAGGGACCTCAGCCTCGGGGCCCCCTTACTTCAGCCCCTCACGCCTCCAGGGCTGGCCCCCAGTCCAAGTCATCTTCAATGACTTGGCACAGGTCCCCCAGGCGGGGCTCCCATGGGTCAGCCGCCGTCTGTGGGTTGGCACTCTCTATGGCCCGGTTAGACTTTGCCAGGAATGCGTTCGCCTGGCTCCTCTGCAGTGCTACCGACCAGCGCTGGTGGTAGTGAGCTGTGAGTTTGGAGGCGACAGTGGTAAGCCTCCCCTGCCTAAATCTCTCTCTCTCTCTCTCTCTCTCTCTCTCTCTCTCTCTCTCTCTCTCTCTCTCTCTCTCTCTAATGGTCCGTATATTGATAGAGCTTGAAGGTACAAACATGCAGGGTATATAGTGCGAGGTCTAGCTAACCAAAATGACAACCAAACAAGGCAAACCACACACACGACTACCAAACAACCGCCCCCTCTAGAGCTCCAGAAAAGACTCAACCACCGCGAAGCAGTCCCCAAGGTGCAGCTCCTGCCCTATGCCTCCTACAGGCGGGTTTTCTGCCGCCGCTGCCTCACCCAACTTAAGTAGGAGTCCCACGGATTGAGCCCTCTGAAGAGCCACCGACCACCGTTGCCTGAATTGGTGAAGAAACTTGGCGGCATAATAGGATTTTGAGTCGGCGTTGAAGTGGCGCCGAGCCGCTGTGTCTGCCAGGAGCTTGAGGAAGACAGGGACCTCGACGCATAGGCAGCCGTAGGTGTCTACTGCCTGTGCCCTTTGCAAGGCGACAGACCACCGCTGGCGGAACTGGTGCAGCAGCTTTGCGGCCTGGAAGCTTGAGGGGTCCGCGTTGAAGTGTAAGCGTGCTGCTCTGTCCGCCAGGTGCTTCAGGAAAGCCTGCACCTCATCGCACGGGCAGCCATAGGTCTCGACTGCCAGCGGGTAAAAGCCTGCAAATTCAGCCCTGCTGTGGTATAACCCGATTTTCGTATCCGCTGCCTCCCTTGCTGCCCATCCCCGTCCCTTCCTGGCAGTCTCGTCCCGTTTGCTCCTGCGGGGCCGGGCAGGGAGGCTAGGAGTCCGTGCGCCTGGACAAAGCTTGCCAGGTAGCTGTACCACCCTTCCACCGATGGGTCCGCCAGCCCCAGGCCTCCCAGGCTGGGGGGAGGGAAGCCTGGTCCCACATGCGTTGTTCCTTCGCATCCCCCCTTGGGTGGCGCACGCCGCAGGCGTCGAGCAGTGTGTGGAGCAGCTTCTGGCCCCACCGTGACCATTCCTCTTCGGGCAGAAGGGTGAGTGGGGTTGTGCGCGCGAGGTATGACATCCGCCTCGCGATGCACCTCGTCAGCAGCAGTGATGCTGCCTGTGGTTCCAAGTCGGCTATCTGCGGGAGTGGGGTTGTCATGGCTTGAAGCTGCGCCCGAATAAATGCTGCTGCTTTGTCTGGCGCGCAGATGAAACTGCCCAGAACACGCAGTCCGTCATGGCAGAATGGGACCCCTTCCGGCAAGGCCCCCTCCGGTGGTCGGACAGCGCTCCACGCCGCACACTTCCCAGCGTTGTGCCTGAGCCCCATGCTACGGAGGCTGCTCGTGAAGTGGGTGAACGCCGCCGTACACTCCGCCACTTTGCCCGGGAACGTGACATCGTCAGCGAATGCGAGGCAGAGCACGGTCGGGAAGGCGTCTGCGGTCGCGGCGAGGGACGGGTGGATGCCCGCGGCGAAGAGCAAGGGCCCGAGGGGGTCGCCCTAGCGGACGCCTGTAATGCTTGATATGGGAGGGCTATTAAAGCCGGCGTCGAGAAATAGCTCTGACGGTGCGCTGTAAGAGGAGTGAACTAGGGGGAGGATCCCTTCTAGCGTACTTCCACGTAGACCCGCTACGATTGCCTCGCGACTGATGCTATTAAATGCGTTTGAGAGATCCGCCTGGAGAATTGTGGCGTCACTGTGCGTGCTCATGTATGATCTGGCGGCGTGGATTATCGCCTCGCTACCTCCTTGGACGGCTACGCAGTACTGGAGTGGGAGGAAATGGGCCCGTGTCGCTTCTGCTAGTGAGGAAAGTGCCGATTTTGCCGCAAGGCATAGGACACACTCTCCTACGGCTATGGGCCGAGTCCCTCCCTCTGGCTTGGCGAGAGCGATGAGGCGGAAGGACGTGAGCAGGGAGCACACCTCTTCGGGGAGTTTCCCTTGGAGTATTGTGTTGACGAGGGCGTGGAGGTGGGTGGTAACGACTGCGTTGGCGATAGCTGCATCCCTGAGGTGTTCGAACGTCATCCCCGACGGCCCTCCCCCTACTCCGTTTTCACAGCGGCATAGGATTTTCGTGAATGCAGCTGAGGTGATGGTCACCACGTGGGCCTCGTCCGTTGGTGTCCAGTCAATATGTCCAGGTGGCGTGGGTGGGTGCTTGGATTTAAGTGAATCCAGTATCTCCGGCGTTGGATCTGCCACGGGTGTAGATTCGAGGGCTAAGATGGCCCGCCGAAGGCTGCCCTTCCGAACCAGTCCTTCTGCTCTGGCACGTTTTCCCAACACGTCCGGCTGGTGGCGTGGTGCTGGGGGGGAGTTGACTGCTGCCACGGCTGCCTCGTACAGTTGTTCCCATTCGCCCTTGAAAAACTGACGAAGTCGCAACTTCACTGCGGGCCAATCAGGCTTCCCTGGTTTCGCCTGGCGAAGGATTAGGCGGGGAATAAAGAGTAATAGGCGCCAACCCGATACTGAGTCAGGGTGGCGTGCGAGGTGCAGCAGGGGTGTTTGCAGCGCGTTTGCGAAACTGGTGCGGATTTCGTGCGGAATTTTGCGGGAGAGGGGGGGCTGACGACTGTCGCGTAGTGGTGTCAGGTCCCAGGTGCGAATTTCGTTGAAGCGTATCGTGTCCTTCGCCAGCTGTTCTGGCGAGTATTGGCGTGTTGGTGGTGTGGTGGTGTGGGGTGCGTCTGGGTTTGGTTCCCCCCCAATTCCAATTTGTGCAGATGCGGCTCGGGCGGGTGTTGCAACATTCACTCGACTCTCCACTGCTGGAGCAGCTTCACCTTTATCCCCACCACTTCCTTCCGTGATTGATTCAGCGGCTGGCTGGGCAATAAAGGTGGGGTCTTGCGCCTCATCTGCTTCATCCTCCGCCTCGTTGTTGACATCCGCATCTGTTAAAGCCAGCCTCGCCGCCCTTTGGAAGCCGTTCTCCCGTCCTCGGCCACGCCCCGCAGCTCGCTGCCGCCCGCATCTGCCTCCACGTAATGCCTGTGGCGGTTGGTGGCGGTTCCCCGGTGCCGTATTCGCCGCGGCCGTTTGGCGTGGCGTTAGCTGCGCTTGCCTCGCCGGTACAGTCGGCGCCGGTTGCCCCTGTTGCGGCAATGTCTGTCGCGGGTTCTCCTCCTCACGCGTGCTCCACGGTAGTCGACTCTGGACGAGAGTCGGCGGGTGTGGCCGTCCAACCGCGCGTGGTGGCGCCGGCGCCTGTGCCTGCCTTCGTTCTGGCGCCTGCGGCTGACGTGGCGCCTCTCCCTGCTCCTGGCGCGGCGCCCTCTCCCGCGCCTCACGTTCCGGTGTTATCGTCGCCTGCTGAGACGGCGGCTGTTGCTGGGGTGGCACCTGCGTCTGGCGTGGCGCCTCCTCCTGTGCCTGTGGCGCTGCCAGTGGTGTCTCCTGCTGCATCCCTTGGTGCACCGGGCGGGGAGTCTGCCCCTCCGCTCCCCGCGGCTTCCGCGTCTGCCCATGCCCTTCCTCCGGCTGTGCAGCAGCGTAACTCCCGTCCACATTCGCCCTCCCCCCAAGATGAGCGGGGTGTGTCTCGTCGACGGCGTGCTTCCCCTCGCCGACGGCAGCCGCAGGCGAACTAGCATGCGCACCAGGGTGGTTGGAGGGGAGGTCGCGGTCGCGGGCGTGGCGGGTGGCTGGACGCGCCAGCAACAATCGCGGACGTGCGGCAGATTGTGATTGAGGCGTTTCGCGACGGTCAGGCCGGCCCGGCGAGTCAAAAAAGCTCGCGACGTACGGCTCCCACGCCGTCTGCTCCCCTTCCGGTCGCTCGCCCCGTGGTTGCTCCGACGCCCGCGGTGTCACTGCCGTCGGCCCCTGCTCGTGGTGGTGGGGCTGGACTTCCTCGACTACAGCTCCCTTCTCTCGCGGAGGAGCTCCTTCCCCCGCGCGCCGAGGTTCCGGAGGCGACGCTCGGCCAGTTATGGAGGCTCTCGGAGAGCCTCCGTGCGCTCCTTCTTGTGCAGTCCCTGGCGCACGGGTCTCTTCCGCCTGTTCCGGCGGAATCTCTGTTTGACGGCCCGCGGGACGACTGTCTTGACGCGGCCGACCAGATTGCCCTCCTCCTAGCGCCTGTGTTGGCCGCGCCCGTGCGGGGAGGCGTTGGGGCTGTGGGGCAACTGGACGCGGCTGTGCGGGACTTACGGAGGTACCTGCGGGCAGGTTCCGGAGCCGACGCGATTGGCGCCGCCATTCTGGTGGTCCGCTCGGTGTGGCAGACGATGACGGGCATTCTGCATGCCCTGCAGGCGGATCGGATGTAGCATCCGCCTCTTCGTGCCCCATGATGATGCTGCCGCTTGTTGTCCTATGCGGCTGTAGCTGGAGCCATTGCGTGTATGTCCTTGTTTATAATCACTTGTCTCGTTTCTCCCTTGTCGCCCCAAACGCGCGGCCGAAGACCGCGCTGTCGAGCGTCGGCCGCCGAAGGCGGTCGACGCGAGCGAAAAATTGCAGCCACCACACAAATCATGAGGAAGAGAGATCCCAAAGGGCCTCTTATATAGGCTAGGGAGGCAGTGAGAAGAGGGCAGAGGGAAGAGAGCAGAGGCTAGGGTCCTCTCTCTCTCTCTCTCACTCTCTCGAACGAGCGAAAAAATGCAGCCACCACACAAATAATGAGGAAGAGAGACCCCAAAGGGCCTCTTATATAGGCTAGGGAGGCAGTGGGAAGAGGGCAGAGGGAAGAGAGCAGAGGCTAGGGTCCTCTCTCTCTCTCTCACTCACTCTCTCGAACGAGCGAAAAATTGCAGCCACCACACAAATAATGAGGAAGAGAGACCCCAAAGGGCCTCTTATATAGGCTAGGGAGGCAGTGGGAAGAGGGCAGAGGGAAGAGAGCAGAGGCTAGGGTCCTCTCTCTCTCTCTCACTCTCTCGAACGAGCGAAAAATTGCAGCCACCACACAAATAATGAGGAAGAGAGACCCCAAAGGGCCTCTTATATAGGCTAGGGAGGCAGTGGGAAGAGGGCAGAGGGAAGAGAGCAGAGGCTAGGGTCCTCTCTCTCTCTCTCTCTCTCACTCTCTCGAACGAGCGAAAAATTGCAGCCACCACACAAATAATGAGGAAGAGAGACCCCAAAGGGCCTCTTATATAGGCTAGGGAGGCAGTGGGAAGAGGGCAGAGGGAAGAGAGCAGAGGTTAGGGTCCTCTCTCTCTCTCTCACTCTCTCTCTCTCTCTAATGGTCCTTGTATTGATATAGCAGCAAAGTACAAGCATGCAAAGTATAGGGACAATGAACACACAATTAGATAGGCACTCTAAGAAACAAACCAACAAACAACCTAAGCAACCTACTCCCGGCCTACTCCCTTAAACCTCCACCAGGGGCTCAATCACGGTGAGGCAATCACCAAGGTGGAGCTCGTGCTGGGTTCCCCCAACTGGTGGGTGCTCTGCCATAGCCGCTTGGCAGGACTTCATGAGGTACCCTACTGACTGGGCCCTCTGTAGCGCCACGGACCAACGTTGCCTCAAGAGGTGGAGGAATCTGGCTACATGAAAGGAGTTAGGTTCGGCGTTGAAGTGACGCCTAGCAGTAGAGTCCGCCAGTAGTTTCAGGAACACGGGCACCTCCGCACATGGGCATCCGTAGGTCTCAACGGCAAGAGGGAAGAAGCCCACTGTGTCTAGCAGGCTAGCATAGTGTTTAATTTTCTTATCCGCCTGCTCTCTCGCTGCCCATCCCCTGCCTTTAGCCGCCGTCTTGTCCCGGGTACTGATTGGATCCGTAATAGTTACATCGCAGATGTAGACTGCGCCTGAGCTCCGGTCCATCATCGTTAGGTCTGCGGTCTGCTCCTCCACTGGACAATAAGCCGCGGATTCTGTGTGCACGATGAAGCCCGCATCCTGTGCCATGCTGGCGCAGGCATCCCTGAGCTCATTGTGCGTCTTGATCCTGTGTTTTCCTGTGCCGCAGCGGAAAAGGTGGTTGGGCAGTCTCGGGTCAGTGATCTCGACGTGCTTTGAACAGTCACATTTTGTCGGTGTTGCGAACGGCAGGCCCAGTCTAAAACGAACCGCATTGGCGAAATGCTCTGGTCCCATCTGCCTCGTGGATTCTATTGGTACTGCCAGCAGCCAATCGCCGGAACCGTAGCCGGTCAGAGAGAAGAGACGCTGCGTGTGTCCGAGCAGCGGGTTTGGTATCATGAGGCGGGACTCCTGGACCTGCCTTGCGAATCTGCTACCCTGGACTTGCACTGAGAGAGCGTGCTGCAGCCTTACTCCTGCTGGTTCCAACCTCTCTTTCTCCAGTATTTCTCGCGCATCGGTGGGTATTGCCGCTTCACATTCCGTCAGCCATGAGTGAAGGGCTGTATCTGTGTCTCTCGGCAGTAACATGTGATTCTTGGCAGCGGACAGAACGTCATCTGGTTCTAGCGGCAGGGAGCTCAGCAGCAGTGACGCCTGTGTGAAACTGGCTAGAAAACCGGACACGCCCTCCACTGTTGGATCTGTGAGACCGATCCCGCCTAGTGACGGTGGCAGGGAGGACTGTTCCCAAACTTGCATCTGCTCCGCCTCGCTAGATGGATAACGAATGCCGCATGATGCTAGAAGGGTGGCGAGCAGGTCTCGGCCCCGCTTTGACCATGCATCGCCGGGCAAGAGGTTCAGCGGGGTTGTTCTCGTTAGGTAAGCTACCCGGCGTGAGATACACCGTGTGAGTATCAACGAAGCAATCTGCGGGTCCGTGCGTTCTATAAGCGGGAGCGGCTTCGCCATTGACCGTAGTTGCTCTGATAGGAAAGTTGCAGCCCCGCCCGTGGTGCCTATGAAACTCCCTAACATTTGGACGCCGTCGCGATTAAACGGCACTCCTGGCGGCAGCTCCTCCTCGTCCGTTATCTCCGATCTACTCCACGCTACGCACTTCGCGGGGTTATGCTCTAGGCCTACTCCGGCTAGCTGGCTCGTGAAATATGTGAATGCCGCGACTGTTTCCGTTTTGTCACCGATGAAACTGACGTCGTCTGCGTATGCCAGGCATAAAACGTCTGGGTGGGCCGCCGCAGTAGCTCGCAACGCTGGGTGGATGCCAGCGGCGAAGAGTAGCGGCCCCAAGGGGTCCCCTTGACGTACCCCACGTTCACTGCTAAGTGGCGCTGTTTCAAATCCTGCGTCCAGGTATAGAAGTGACGGTTGTCCGTACGTTAGCTGGACTAGCGGGAGTAGAGGTGAGAGGGCTTGGTCCTGTAGAGCAGAGACTATCCCCTGCCTTGAGATGCAGTTGAAGGCGTTCTTCAGATCTGTTTGCAGAATCAGAGAGTCTGGCTTGGCGTCAGTGAATGCGCGTGCCGTGTGTATGATTGCTTCAGCTCCCCCCGGTACTGCGACACCGTACTGTAATGGGAGGAAGAATCCCCGTGCCGCTTCACCCATGACCGTCAGTGCCGCCTTTGCTGCCAGGCAAGTTAGGCACTCGCCAACCGCTATAGGCCGAGCCCCACCTTCCGGCTTGGCTAGTGCCACCAGGCGTGATGACGTGAGTAGCTCTGCTATGTGCTGGGGTAATTTCCCTCCCATCAGGGTGTTGACCAGGGCGTGCAGATGGGTGCAGACAGACGCGTTTGTTACTGCCGCGTCGCGCAGGTGTTCGAATGTTGTGCCTGACGGGCCGGCACCCACCCCGTTTTCGCAGCGGCTCAGCAATTTGACGAAGTCAGCGTGGGAAATTGTCAGGGTTTGCGGTTCGTCGTGGGGTGGCCATGCCAGGGGCTCGTTGCCAGCTGGCGGGTGTTTTTGACGAAGCTCGGTCAGAATCTGAGGGCTGGGAGTGCATACTGGCGTTGACTTGAGGGCCAGTACCGCCCGCCGCAAACTCCCACGTTTTGCCAGGCCTTCTGCTCTGCTGATGACACCCGTCTCGTCAGGTTGGTGACGTGGGGGTGGGGGGGTGTTGACAGCTTCCGTGGCGTCAGTGTAGAGCCGCTCCCATTCGCCACGTTGGAATGAGCGAATCCGTGCCTTAATTTTGGCCCAGTCTGGTCGCTTTGGCGAGGGTTGGCGAAGGATAAGGCGGGGGAGGAACAGCTGTCAAACATATATGCTATGGTCTATCTAGGCTCTAGTGGGGTAGACACTATAGGGTACAACATTTCTCGGTTTCCTACTTGTACCCACATTCTGCCTAGTCAACTCATTCCTCATTCTTCACATGGTATAGAGCAGGTTCCCTCGTGGGAACGCTTCTCAGGGCCCACCAACTAACTCGATCTTTTTTTTCCTGCCCGAGGCGTGCCCCGTAGGCCGCCCTCACGTCGCGCCCTCCTAGAGGCCCCTCGCGCCACCCTAAGCGACCCTGTCGCCGCCCCAATAGGCCCCTCGCGGCCCCTTCACGGCCCCGTAGCAGCCGCTCTAGGCCCCGTCGCCGCCGCTCTAGGCCCCTCGCGGCCCCTTCACGGCCCCGTCGCCGCCGCTCTAGGCCCCGTCGCCGCCGCTCTAGGCCCCTTGCGGCCCCTTCACGGCCCCGTCGCCGCCCCTAGCGGCCCCGTCGCCGCCCCTCTAGGCCCCTCGCGGCCCCTTCGCGGCCCCGTCGCCGCCACTTGCGGCCCCGTCGCCGCGCCCTCTAGGCCCCTTACGGCCCCTTCGCGGCCTCGTCACCGCCCCTCTAGGCCCCTTGCGGCCCCTCTAAGGCCCCGTCGCCGCCCCTAGCGGCCCCGTCGCCGCCCCTTTGCGGCCACCTTGCCGCCCCTAGCGGCCCCGTCGCCGCCCCTAGCGGCCCCATCGCAGCCTCTACCGGCCCCGTCGCCGCCTCTACCGGCCCCTTCACCGCTGAGCCGCCCAGCAGCTGAGCAGCCGAGCCGCCCAGCAGCCGAGCCGCCCAACAGCCGAGCCGCCGAGCCGCCCAGCAGCCGAGCCGCCGAGCCGCCGAGCCGCCCAGCAACCAAGCCGCCCAGCAGCCGAGCCGCCCAACAGCCGAGCCGCCGAGCCGCCCAGCAGCCGAGCCGCCGAGCCGCCCAGCAACCGAGCCGCCGAGCCGCCCAACAGCCGAGCCGCCGAGCCGCCCTGCCGTCGAGCCACTACTGTTCCTACCGGCGCGCCCCGGCCCTACTTACTCGGACTGGTGAGATCACTCCCTGCTAGGCCACTGCAGTCATGGCTACCCCCAGTGTCCTTACCTTTGATGCTGAGGGTCGTGCTGTTGACTTTGAGGTCTGGGTCGATGACCTCCAGCTGTTCCTACAGTGCGATAGGGCAGACGGACTCTCCCTGTTCGATCTCACCTCTGGTGCCTCTCCTGCCCCGCCTTCTA